TATTGGTTTAAAAGTTATTCATGCATCTTTACATATAACTTAAATACAAATGTCAGGAAATATTTTTCAAGTTAAAGCTTACAATCAAGACAACTAGTTTCTATGTGGTAAGTTAAACAGGCCCATTTTAAAAGTATCTCAATAGCTAGATTTTTATACAGTAATCAATTGTACGACATTCACAGTGGCAAAGTATTTCTTTCCCTGCAAGACATATTAACATTTTTACTTCAAATCCAGAGTTAGAGAAGGGCTTTTTCCTCACCCAGAAAAAGTTATCTTGATAGACAATTTCACCACTTTTGAGAATAAAGTTAAGGATGTTTTGTCCTATTTTAGTTTATTTTATGAAATTAAACTTTCCCAAAAAAACTTGGGAGGTGGGCTGGCATGGAGAATGCTGCTAGGCTGTTTGCAAAAAGGAAGTCAGAAATGTTAAAAAATGTAATTAGTAAAATGTTTCTGCCTCATCAAATTATATTCAACTTTAATTTGCTTGTCTTTCTAGTTGCTTAGACTTAGCTAATTTTACAAAGGTACTAACATATTTTATTAATTTCGTATTGCTGTTTTAACAAATTGTCATAAATTTAGTGGCTTTAAGCAAAACGAATTTAGTATCTTATGTTTCTGGAGGTCAGAAGTCTGCAATAGGCTTCACTGGGCTAAATATCAGTTTGCAGGGCCTTCTTTCTGGAGGCTTTGCGGAGAATCTGGTCTCTTGCCTTTTTCCACTTCTATAGATGGCCTATATTCTTTGGCGTGCCCCTTCTTCTATAGTCAAAGCCAGCAATAACTGATAAAGCCTTTTCCATGCTGCATCACTCTAAAATTAACTCTATTGCCTCCCTCTTTCACTTGTAAGGACTCTTGTAATTACATCTGGATCCATCTTGATAATCCAGGATGATGTCCCCACCTCAGAATCTTTCATTTATATATGAAGTCTCTTTTGCCATGTAAGGTAATACATTCATAGGTTCTGAGGGATTAGGACATAGACATTGTAGGGACCCATCATTCTGTCTAATGTATGTCTAAACAAACTTTCTATAGTATGCCTAATAATAGGCCTTATTTGTAGTTCTAGAAGGTAGAAGTAGGCTTGGTTGAATGGTTGAAAAATACACACAGATTTTTTTTTCTCTCCAATCAGAGAATTTCCTAATAATAGAAGCCATTTAAAAAGAAATGTGTTTGTGTGTGTGTGTGTGTGTGTGTGTTAGTAAGCTCATTTGAGGTGTTGAGACATGGTTGACCAGTCAGCATTGATGTCAAGGAGATTCCTGCATTGCATGGGAGAACAGATTGTGGCCTCTAAAATCCCTTTTTTAACTAATAAATTTTTCTGGTTCTATGCCGAAGATCTCAGAGTGTATTAGTCAGGGTTCTCCAGAGAAACAGAAGCATCCAATAGAATGTGTGTGTGAGAGAGAATGAGAATAAAATAGATCTGTTTATCTATTGATCTATCACTCTATCTCTTTATTTATAGGAATTGGCTCATGGAAGTGTGGGAGCTGGCAATTCCAAAATATGTAGAGTAGGCCAGCAAGCTGGAGACTCAGTAAATAGTTGATAAGTTCAGAATACACAGGCTGGAAACTCAGACAGGGTTTCTTTGTTAGTCTTGAGGTAGAATTTTTTCTTCCTTGGGAAACCTCAGTTTTTGCTCTTAAGGCCATCAGCTGATTAGATGGGGCCCACCCATGTTTTGGAGAGTAATCTGCCTTCTCAAAGCCTACTAATTTAAATACTAATCCCATCTAAAATATATTTTCATAGCAACTCTAGACTGGTGTTTGACTAAACAGTTGGGCACCATTGCCTAGCCAAGTTGACTCATAAAATTAACTGTCCATACAGTTAAAGATTGAGCCCCAGACCTTCCAGCTTCTTGGCCAATGTTGCTCCTGTGTACTTTCCTCCCTCCCTCTTTTCTCCTTCCTACCTCTTTTCCTCCCTACCTCCCTCCTTCCCTCCCTGCCTTCCTCCCTTCCTCCCTCCCTTTCTCCCTTTCTTCCTCCTTCCTCCCTCCCTCCCTCCCTTCCTCTCTTTCTCCCTTCCTTCCTTTCTTTCTTCTTTTCTTTCCCTGTCTCCCCTGTCACTCTCCACACTCCTTCTCCTCTCTCCCTCTGCCCCCTTCTACCTGTACTCTATTTAGTTCCTACTGTTTTACTGCCTCTTTGTTCTTGGATATAAAGTGCCAAATAACTTATTTTTTCTGTGTCCCTCTGATTTTCATTTTTACATTTGTTTGCAGATAGTTTTGAATTTTCTGTGAAGCTCCTAACACTGCATTTACTAAGTATATCTAGTATGTCATTCATCAGCTAAACCTTTTAATTAGCCAACTTATTTTAAGCAATTTTAAAACATTCAAAAAGATATTTGGTGTTTGTTCTTCCTTTAAATTCATTGTTACCTGATGGTATAAGTAAGAACCTTAAAGTAGGTCATTCAGAAAGAATAGGCCTTAAAGGGAAATGTCTGAATTCATTTTCATCCTCTTTAGGATTCTCTCCTAATTTCTTCAGTTCATCTCCAATTTGCTTTCTCTCCTTTCAGGATCCAGAGTCTACTGTAGTGGGAAGAGAGGCCTAAAAATTTGCCTTTTTCATATATTTTTATACTAATTCCATTTTAAAAGTTAATTAAAATTCTAATTGGTAATGATTATTAAAATTAAACACAGATTCCTCCTATTGTCAGGTCTTATTTTAAGTTAGTATAAAACAAGTTTTTTCCTTTTTCCTTTCAACTGTTTAAAGTAAGTTTTGGAAGAAATGAACCTTATTTTAAAAATTAATCAATTTTAAAATTAGCTAAATGGAGCTAATTAACATATGAATTACATCACAGACTTATCATTTCTTATGGAGCGAAACATAAAATCTCTCAGTGATTTTCAAGAATTCAATATGAGAACTCATTTTTAAAATACATTAACAATGAACAGAGGTTCCTAGCCTTTTAGTCTGCAGATCAGAAAATGACTTACGCTAATAAATAACAAAAGCAAGATTAGAATTCAGATCTCTAAGTAAGCTCTTGGTCCATTAATGAGCAATACTATTTCACTTCTTTGTGAATGTTAGTTTATATTGTTAATTGTAAAGTAAATTGTTAATTCTCTGTTATTATATATTAGACTATTTCTGAGGGTAGATGAAGATAATCTGATGGCCAGAGATGCAGGAGGAAGGAATTTTAAGGAAGAAAAGCATGAACAAAAGATGTTCAGGCTTTTATTGTTTAAGTTATTTGATGTTCACTGTATACTTTTGCAGATAATTAATTCTTTTATGTGAAATAGGCAAGGCTGCTATTATTATTATTCCCATTTTGTGGGCAATGTATCTGAGGTCTCATGAGATCACTGTGTTTCAACAAATGGTACATGTTTTGGACTAAACCCCATAGAATTGTGGAATATTAAATTTTGAAACTCATTTGGTCCAGCCATTATCTTTCTTCTTGTCCTGTGTTTTTTCTACTACACCACTCTCTGTTTTGTGAATTTTTTTCCCCCATTTTTCATAGTTGGACAAACATTACAAGTAATTAGATGACATTTTGCTTTTTCATCACTCCTTAGTTTTAGTAAGTTTATGAAATTAGAAATTTAGATTAATTGCATAATTCAGATTCTATGACTTTTTAAAATTATGAATATATTTAGATGAACTGTCGGAGAAAGTTTATATTATGAAATTGCACTATAAGCATGTTTTAATTGATTAAATCTATGGAGAACTCCATATTAATATAAAAATTTTTGGGGAGAAATGACAGATACAGGTGAGGGGAAGGAAGGCAGCAAACCACACTGCCATGTGTGTAACTATGCAACAATCTTGCATGTTCTTCACATGTACCCCAAAACCTAAAATGCAATTTAAAAAAAAATCATAATAGCAATAAAAACCTAATAACAAGAAAAAAATTTTTTTAAATCTTTTTAAGAGCCTGTTTTTCAAATTAAAAGTTGTGAATGGAGCTTATGGGAAAGAGGTGTTTTCATCTCTCTGTATCTAACATTTAAACATTTTAGTTAACATATTTTGTTTCTTCTTTTTTTTGAGAGAGAGTCTTGCTCTGTTGCCCAGGCTGGAGTTCAGTAGCACGGTCTCAGCTCACTGCAACCTCTACCTCTCAGGTTCAAGTGATTCTCCTGCCTCAGCCTCCCAAGTAGCTGGGATTATTGGCGCTGGGCATATTTTGTAATAAATTTTTCCAAATAAAATTGTCTTCAAAATGTTTCAAAACAGAAATTATTCTTTCTGTCAAATCTAATCTCTTACTATTCCCTTTTATGTGATTAGTTGGGAGTTGGGAGCTGGAGTGGTAAGCAGCTTCCCACCTCAAGATAAAAGGTAAGTTTGAGGTGTCCCACCCTGCAGTAGGGAAGTCTGTAGAACAGGGGATTACAGCTCTGAAACCAGGCCAGTGTTCTGAGTTCATAGGGGCCTGCAGGAAAAGAAAAATTAATATATTTAGATTTTCGATGTATAGGTACTATTGTCAGACAGACCTGGATATAAACCCTAGATCCTCTACCACTGACTAGTTTTGTGCCCTCTAGAAAATTACTTAATCTCTTTAACTATCTGTAAAATGGGGCTAATAATTTCCACATCATGTACTTTAATTTGGTGAGAGAAGAAGAGAGGAGTAGCAGGACTATTTGGAGTACAGTAACTAGGACAAAGAATATACGTAGTTAATGCTTAATAACAGCAGTAATTGTTTTATAATGCTACTTCTTATACCTTTTTATGTCGTTTCCCTTCTAAAATGTACATTTGTTGAAAACACGAACTTTGAAATTAAAGCATTTAATAAATATTTGTTCATTGATAAATATTCTCATGCTCAAGAGGCTCTTTACATATTTTTCTTATTATGTCATTGCTAGATTTTATGTAAATTTGTTAACTTGTCATTTAGGAATACTGTTTATTTCCTCACTCATGATTATATTGTAAATTCTTTTCCAGAGCATGAAGGGCAAAAGCAAAAGTAGTCATGACTTGCTTAAGGATGATCCACATCTCAGTTCTGTTCCCGTTGTAGAAAGGTTAGTCAGTTGTTGGTATGATCCTAAGTTCTTAATTTTCTGGCTCAGATAATTTTCTTGCTTCTTTTGTGAGTAAACCATCGGTTCTCATAAGTCAAAAATTTTAAAGCCAGCCAAAAAAATAAAGCATTTTGATAACAGAGGTAGAGAACTTCAAGCATGATAGAGAGAAACAAACACTCCAGTCACTTTCATTCTTGCTTTCTACCTCTGTTGAATGAGTTACATTTAAAATTGTTTAATCTTTACAAGTTAGTATTAGAAATTTTAACAGTTGAATGTTTAATTCAAGGTTGTTTTGCTAACTTTTTCTTTGAAGCATTTTTGTCTTAATTGTATCACGAGTGAACACATTAGAGTTGAAGGTTTTTGTGAAGAAGTTATGAGTTTGGGACCAGTCCACTAACTAGTAAATTCTCATATACTTGAGGAGTTAATAGAAAGTTTTCTTGTTACCTTTGTTGCTTCTCTTTGAGAAGGGAAGATGTCTTGGTGTTAGATGTAATTGCACAAGGTAAACTAGGCCAATATCTCAAGGTGGACTACAATGCTGTTGTACTGAGTTTAGCTCATTTTCAAAACTCATATTTTAAGACAATCTTAACATCCTTTTATTTGAAGGATTTGGGTTTTTTCAGCCGGACTACTTCAAGCCAATAGAATAAATTGTTTTCTGCCGACCATTGTTATTAAAATAGCACGGTTGGTTGTTGTTCGCTTTTTTCTTTCAACTTCTAGTGAACTCATATATTTACTAATGAATCATACTTATTCCACTTATAAAAAAGTGACTCTAAAGAATGTTTCCATCTGCTCTATAATGCCCTTCTTAAATTCCTATGTTGAAATAAGTTTTTGGAATATTATTCCCAGCAAACTATTCTAGATTTCTGGGTTACAAAATAATTTTATTACTTTTACCTTGAAACAAAAATTTCTTTTGCTTTTTTTTTTTATAGTGAAAAAGGTGATGCCTCAGGAGATTCAGATGATGTAAGTATTTATTTTAGCAGAAATATAGTTTGAACAATTTATAGAAAGTATATTTTTATAAAAAATTAATTGTTCTTAAAAAGTAATCTATACTACTTCTATAGTTATGTATTTCAAATTTTGGAAAAATACAAAAAAGTAATGATCTATTTAGGTATTAGAATATTTCCTTACTCTAGGGGTGTGTATGTGTGTGTGTGTGTGTGTGTGTGTGTGTGTGTATCTCCCTACAACATTAGAATCTTATGTATGAATTTCTAGTCCATTTTTTCTCCCCCTCACGTAGCATTACATTAATACTCAAACTTCAGATGTTATACTTTTATTGTATTAAAAGTTTCAATGTTGGTATGTAGGCATCCTACACGATATATGGGAAATTCTTGGATCAGTCATTTATAGTAATATCCCCTTTTTATATACACATTTCAAAAGATTCTCATTCAAGACTGTATGTAGTGACCTTTATTACTTATAGTGGCTAATAAAGCTAATAAAACAGAAGAAAGATATTCCTTTGATACATAAGAGATCAAGTTTTCAAATTATGCATATGCCACTTTTTATATAAAAACCCATTGATCTGTGCATTAGATAATTTACTAGGAACTACATATAACTTTCCATACATGAACACAGATTTATATACTATCACAGTCAAAAGAGAAGGCTCTTTCTGGCTGTCAATAGTAGATAAGGGATGAATATCTGACCTTGTCAAGAAAACCTTCCTGGAAGATATGATGCTGTTTATGTCTTATATGAGAGTTATGAGTTAGCCAAGTCGGAAGAGAAAGTGGTGAAGAGTGGGGTCCCTCTAGGACAGAGAACAATGTATGCTAAGGCATGGAAATTAAGGAAAGATTATACCTAATTTAGAAAATACAAGCTGAGATTTGAAGTTTGAAGGAATCTGTCATGTGAAGAGCAGGGGAAAAGGATGTTGAAAGTAAAGGGAACTGGCTATACAAAATGGTCTGAAGCAGGGGAGTTTGGTGTGTTCTAAGAGCTGAAAGCTGGCCAGTATAAACAGGCTGGAGCTTCATTGCAGAGCTTCATAGGCAATGGCGAGAAGTTTGAGTTTTTCTTAAAAGGAAGTGAGGAACAGTTGAAGGGTGTTTGTTAAAAAGAAGAGTGCTATGATCAATTTTGCATTTTAGGAAGATCACCATTGGCGATATAATAGAGGACACATTAGAGGAAAAGGACTGATGTCAAGGACAACCACTGGGAAGATGGGCATGAATTGAGCAAACAGCCTTTCCTGGGGTATCCCGTACTTACATAGTTGGCTTAGAGCAGAACCAAGGGCTATTCCCACCTGTAGCAGATTCTTCAAGGGCTTATAATTCAAAGAAAACAAAACAAAAAATCAAACCTAGTTTAGAATGCAATTAGGAGATTCAGTGGACCTAACAGATCTCTAGAAGTGAAAGGGGAAATTGAGTGCCTGGCAAATACTCATTTTCCATTTCTACAGGATGGAGAAGATGAAAGTGCAGAGCACGATGACTATATTGACAGTGATGAAAAGAACCTGATGAGAGAAAGAATTGCCAAAAAATTAAAAAAGGACACAAGTACGAATGTTAAATCAGCTGGAGAGGGAGAAGCGGAGAAGAAATCAGTCAGCCGCAGGTGAGTCAGTTACTGTGCGAGGTATCAGAGTTTTTGTATTTTTATATTTCACTTTAATTCAGATTGAATCCTCTCTTCAGCTAATTTTTAAAATACTATTTTCATAATGTTTGATAAATATAATAGTTTTACAAATTGGCCCGTTAGTGGGCCTAAAAGGAAACAGACAAAGCTTAATGTAAATATAGCAATGATCCTATGAGTCCAATTTCATTTTGTTTCTCTCTCATCCTTTTTTAGGAAGGCTCTATAAGTTTATATGGTAATAGTGTATTAGCTATATGTGAAATCATGTATTTGTTAAATACTGATGAGAACAGTAGATTAACTGTATAGAAAGAAAAGAGACCTCCTCAAATAATTTAAGTGAATAAAATTTGTCAGACTGATGAAGAAAATGTGTGGGCCTGAAAACATTCTTAAATATCTTTTCAAGTCTGATTTACCAAATACCATATGCCCATCCTAAGTTCAGTAGTATCATAAAGTAAATTTCAGCAAATGATGAACAATTTACTGTCTGGTGATGAAAGTTTGTTAGATTAGGCCAGGCGCGGTGGCTCAACCTTGTAATCCCAGCACTTTGGGAGGCCGAGGCTGGTGGATCACGAGGTTGAGAGATCGAGACCATCCTGGTCAACATGGTGAAACCCCGTCTCTACTATAAATACAAAAAATTAGCTGGGCATGGTGGCATGTGCCTGTAATCCCAGCTACTCAGGAGGCTGAGGCAGGAGAATTGCCTGAACCCAGGAGGCAGAGGTTGCGGTGAGCCGAGATCGTGCCATTGCACTCCAGCCTGGGTAACAAGAGCGAAACTCCGTCTCAAAAAAAAAAAAAAAAAAAAGAAAGTTTGTTAGATTTATGACTCAACATTTTATTCTCCTGAAATTCAACTTAATTGAAAAATTATCTCCTTTGTGATTCTATTTCAACTTTATAATATACATTTTAAATAATATTGCTTTAAAAAACAATAGTATTTGTTTTCTTCAAATACTATTTGGGGATAAGATGAATGTAACTACATTTAAATAACATTCTTTTTCTCTATCATGTTTCTTAACCACATGTAGAAAAACTTAAAAAGAATTTTCACACTGTCATCATATAGCTCCCTCAATTTTTTTCTTTATGAAACCAAATAAAAATGATTCCCAGAAATTTCTACTAAAAGCAAAGCTTTTAACATTTAGAAATGGTACTTAAGGGTCATCTTAAATATCTTTTCTCCAGCAACGTTCACCTGACACTCAAGTAATCACCATTGAGTAATTGTATATAGAAGATTATATCGTATATACTATATATAGTAGCTAATATAGACTAAAGATTTTCGTGATCATATGCATGCTTCTAAATTCATAGAGTTGAAAACCTTTCATTAGGTCTGTAACTTTTGATTAAATTATGAATATAATTATGGATACATAATGTTTTATTCCACTCATTCAAGGCGTGTGTTTTCCGATTTTGAAAATTAAGAATTTTTTTAAAGGTTAGTTTTATAATGTAACAAAATATATTTTAAAATTTTAATAGATGAACCAACCAAACATTTATTTCTGTTATATTTAAGTGTTCCTTAAGCTCCCAACTCTGTCTTTTAGGTTTTAATAAATTTCAAATGTTTATGTACCCTATAAGATAAATTATAATTTTGCAAAGCTAAATTTTGTATAATAACTGAAGTTTATTTTTAATGTACCTTTCATAAGCGTCTTTAAAAATTTGGTTACCTAATATTTAGAAAAGTCAAAGTTTGCATTTTCTGAAATTGAGTTCACTCTTACAATTAAGGTTTATTTTTAAAAGATTTCCTTGGCTGTAGTATGGACCTGATGAGCATACATGGCCTTGATAGCTAGATTTAGCAATCTGATCTATCATGGGACTACTGGAGAGCCATTGAAGTTTTACAGGCAAATGATACATTGAGATAGTATTTTGTATGGAGAATGGATTGATAGGAGAGTATTTTGGGCTATTGTACAAAATACCATAGACTTAAAGAACAGACATGTAAAGCTTAGTTTTTATGGTAATTTCTTACATAGCATATATATCCACTTACTCATGTTAGCAGTTTTTCTCTTTTTCTCTTTTTATAAATCAGTATAATTTACAAAATTCAAGTGACATAATGAACTGAAAAAATACGTGATCATGAGAAAGTAGAGAATTTCAAAGGACGAAGCAGTCTTTCTCTCTAGTATAGAAATTCCTCGTGACCACATATTTTTTCAGTTCATAAAATTGCCAAAATTAGAACCTGGCATAGAGGCTCATGCCTGTAATCCCAGCTGCTCAGCAGGCTGAGGTGGGAGGATTGCTCGAGCCTAGGAGTTCTAGGCTGCAGAGAGCTATGATCATGCCTGGGTGACAAAGCAAGACCCTGTCTCTAAAAAAATAAAAATAAATTTTAAAACATTTCCAAATCATTAGTACTTTCAGTTATTTATGGCAGCAAGTCTCTGGAGTTAACTTTATGGTTAAAGAAAACAACAGCAACAAAACACAAGAAAGCTCCAAAAATACTGAAAATTATAATGTGGTGAAAAGGATAGTTATATTTAAAGGAAAGTCACTGCTCAGTTTGAATTATAATGGGTATAGCTGCCAGCCAGATAGGATGTCAGCGTGACATCATTATCTATTCAAAAATCAGTACTCTTGATATATAACTTCACCTGGATGTGCTTGAAGTACTCTACTATCCTTTGGTCATTTTTCCGTTTAAGCAGTTGGATGAGAGAATAGACTAGCCTACCAGCTCTTAAAGCAAGGAGCTGTTCAAAGTATAATTTTACTGAAAATTTGTGGTATTGCTTCTATTGGTGAGGAAACATCTGGAATCTGTTAAAGCTGTTTGTCACTTTGTATGTTAAACCTACATATGTGTTTACTGAGTGCTTAATATTTAAACTGGAGAATGATATTTAACAATTTAATTTTCAACAAGTTTACATACAGTAAGATCTTTTCCTAGTAATGTATTTCCAGCAATGCCTCTAGTTGTTCATTTGAAAGAAGGACTCAGGCCGGGCACGGTGGCTCATGCCTGTAATCCCAGCACTTTGGGAGGCCAAGGCGGGTGGATAACCTGAGGTCAGGAGTTCGAAACCAGCCTGGCCAACATGGTAAAACCCCGCCTCTACTAAAGATACAAAAATTAGCTGGGCATGGTGGCAGGTACCTGTAATCCGAGCTACTTGGGAGGCTGAGGCAGGAGAATCACTTGAATCCAGGAGGCAGGGAGGTTGCAGTGAGCCAAAGTTGTACCATTGCACTCCAGCCTGGGTGACAAGAGCAAGACTCCGTCTGAAAAAAAAAAAAAGAGATAAAAGGACCAGGAGAAATACAAATCCAAAACGTTTCCCAGCTTATCTCCTTAGAGAATAGGCACCCTTACATCTATTCCAACTTCCAGGGATTTCTAATCCCTTGCCTCTACCCTTTTTAAAATGTACCAATCCCACTTTCTTCCAGCCCACCTTCACTATTCCTATATCTTGACTACTAGATGCATCTCAGCAGAATCACACAGTCATATACAAGTTGGTATTATTATGGATTTCTAGATTCCCCCGCCTTCTGTGTCTCCAGTGCTTCTTTATTACTCACTCTCCACCGTGTTTACTTCACACTTCAAACTCACTCAGCGGATCACCTGGCTGCTTGCTTTTTATGAAATGAGAGTAAATTTCTTCAACCCGTATTCCTTTCTCTTCCCTGCTTCGAGAGTAAAATCTAATAAAACCGTTCCATTTTATTTCCTGTCCCTACATCCTTCCTGTTTATTTCTAAATACACATTATCTAGTTTCTCGCCCACCACTCCACTGACACTCCTCTCACTAAGGCCATCTAGTTGATAATTTAATGGCTACTTTCCAGTTTGGTTTTTTCTTGGTCTTTCTGCTATTGAGATTTTTTTATCTCTTCTCTCTTGATACTAATCTCTCTCAAGAACTTTACTATTTAAAGTGTGATCTGTGAAGCAGTAGCATTAGCATCACTTGAGAACTTGTTAGAAATACCGGGTCTCAGGCCCTATCCTACACATTTTTAATTAGAATCTGCATTTTAACAAGATCCCCAGGTGATTTGTATGTACATTAGTTTGAGAAGCAGTCCTGCAGAATATTAATTTTTAACCCCACTACTCTTGGAAGAGTGCAAGTTTGTATCATTGTAGTTCCAAGTCAGCAGCTTGGCGTACTATGTTCCCTGACTCCCTAGCGAATACCTATGTGCACCCTTTTCACACTTTCCTAATAGTATGATATTAGGTTATATATGTATTTTTTTCTTCTTTGTGTATTCTTATACTGTAATTTTCTTGAAGGTAGTGATCCTGTCCACTTACGTTTGCATCTCCATGTTCAAACAGCATAGGTACCCAATTTTTTTTTTTTTTTTTTTTTTTTTTTTGATATGGAGTTTCGCTCTTGTTACCCAGGCTGGAGTGCAATGGCGCGATCTCGGCTCACCGCAACCTCCGCCTCCTGGGTTCAGGCAATTCTCCTGCCTCAGCCTCCTGAGTAGCTGGGATTACAGGCCCGTGCCACCATGCTCAGCTAAATTTTTGTATTTTTAGTAGAGACGGGGTTTCACCATGTTGACCAGGATGGTCTCGATCTCATGACCTTGTGATCTACCTACCTTGGCCTCCCAAAGTGCTGGGATTACAGGCTTGAGCCACCGCACCTGGCCCCTGATTTTTTGTATTTTTAGTAGAGATGGGGTTTCATCATGTTGACCAGGATGGTCTCGATCTCTTGACCTCGTGATCCACCTGCCTCAGCCTCCCAAAGTGCTGGGATTACAGGCGTGAGCCACTGCGCCTGGCCCCCAAATATTTTTTTTAATTAATAAACAAATATGAATAAATTCTTCTTTGACAAATGACTTTCTCCTCTGAATCTTGCAAGTAGTTTGCTTGTATTTTCAATTGGGATTTATTTATTTGCCTCTCCTTTGCCAAATCTAAGCTCTTTA